CAGGGAAAACAGAAGATCATGATAACATAAAAATGACGAGAAAATGATCGAATCATGATGGAAAAATGAGTTTTCCTCGTCATTTTGATGTCATCATGATTTTCTGTTCTGCCTGGGTATCTTCAATTGCTTCGCTTCAAATCAATTGATCATCTTCAATGAGCAGATGGCCAATTGGCTGTCGGGAGCCTTGCCGAAAGGCTTGCTGCCGTCGGGTGCCTCGTACTTGTTCACTTGGTACGTCAACAGGGTCTCGTAGCCGTACACGTCTGTACCGAGTTGCTGTGAAGATTCATCAAGATCGATTTGTAGAAGAAAAGAAAGAAACATAGAGTGAGACCTCAGCATGCTGGATGCGAGATCAGTTACCTGTGTGAGCGGGCTGGTGTTGGTCGTGAAGATGCCGACGTACTTCTCCCGCTTGATGAGCTCCAAGCAGTGCTCTTCCATCTGCCTCATTATGAGCACGTTCTCCGCCGCGTTCAGCTCGCTGTTGGTCGACATCATAAAGTTATGAATAATCTGGCCTTTACCCTTGGGCAATCTGTTCTCTATGATCGGCTCTTCCAGATACTCGAGAAAGTCCAAGATGACTGTCAACTTGGAGTTCAGCACCACCTCGGGCTTGTCCCAGAGATCAAAGTTGAGAGTGATCCCGATCGTTTTGCCGGTCTGCGCCGACTTCATGGCGAAACTCAAGCTCTTCTCCACGAGCGGCCGCCACATGGAGTCAATCAGATCCCGGTAATCGGCTCTCGTGATGTCCGGCATCAACCACCGCTCCAAATCGGCTTTCGAGTAAAAGCTCTCCGTGATTATTCTGCAAATTCGAGCGCGCGGCGTCACATTTACGAGCCATACGTGCTGTACGTGTCACTTGCAAAGCCTTTTCGCGCAACAACTCACTCGATCACGTCGTCCTTGTGGCGGTCGTGCAACGGCTCGTAGATATACGACTCCTGATCGATGCTCTCGTTCAGCGGCTCCTCCACGCTGGAGATAAGTTTCATGCGGCCCAGCATATCGGTCAGACTCTTGGCCGTGATGAAGTCCGTGATGCCGATGTGGTAACCCTGGTCGCGCAGTTTGGTCACCGTGTAGATGGAATTCAACGAGTTCCCGCCGAGCTTGTAGAAATTCGCGTGCGACGTCACCATTGCACGGCCGTTGAGGCCGATTACGGACGCGATGGTCGGGAAGAGAACACGGGCCTTCGCAAGGTCTTGGCTCGGCACGTCGCTGTAATCGCACTTGGCGGCCACCTCGTCTTCTGCGGGGAATAAACAAATAAATAAGCGAATGTATGCTAACGACGATGGGCGATAAACGATGGCAAGGGACAGCGGCTAATTAGAAAGTCGGAGAAACCGGTCGTCCTCAGGATCACGCGTTTGCATTTGCTATTCGATTTCACGGTGATTCGGCGGCGATCGTGTAACATGCGCGGCATTTCGCCGCGCATCGAGCCGTTTGGGTCGCCGTTTGGGTATGTTAACGCGATCGTCGCTTGATACTCCTCTCGCCTAACGACGACTGTCCGCCGCAATGGCGGGATGGCTCACCGTCGTTGGGGCAAGACGCCTCGTACTGCTTCAGCAACGCCTGCCGATCCGTCTTGCCGTTGATCATCAGGGGTATGCGATCGACGACGACGATTTGCGGCAGCATGTACGGCGGCAGCGTTCTTTGCAGGAGATGCTCGACCTCCGAGCTAGACAGGCTCGCGCCGCCCGCGATGCTAATGAAGGCTACCAGCGCCTGGAAATTCAAGGAGAGGGCTTCCATTAGTCCGACATTAAAAGTCAGAGTTGCGGCGCAGATGGCCGCGTTTCAGCAAATATATAAATTATACATGATTGTACGCGCGATGTAAATTGAAATTTAAAAAAAAAATTTGAAACATGGCCGAAGGAGAGAAGAAATTGCGCTCTCCGTTGAGTCATGGCCGTGGTTACTCTCGTCGTGCCTGCGCGACAGCGTTTTATCCAGCGTAGAATTTGTGCGCAATCCGCATTCCGCAATCCGTCGTGGAAATTTCGCGCGCTGAAAAATCGCCTTCATCCCGCGTACCTGTGACAGCTCGCCGGGTTTGTAGCTGAGAACCACGACCTTGTCGACGCCGGGTACCCTGACGATCGCCCTCTCGACCTCCGCGAGGTCGACGCGGTGGCCCCTGATCTTGATCTGCGAGTCGACTCGGCCTTCGTAAATTACGGATCCTTTGACAATCCTGGCGTAGTCGCCCGTACGGAAGATCCTCGGATACTCTGCGGACATCGCGAAACAGTGTTATCAGCGCCATTCCTCTCGAGCGCGCCGCGCGCGACGGCCAAGTTTGGCCGATAAATCTCGGCGCGAGTTCGGGCAGGCCGCGCGATACGCGCGTCGTCCCCCGATTTTGCCCCGCCCGGAGATTTTTGCGGCGTTAAGAGAATTCCGCCGTTTGTCACGGACGATCACGTCACGAGACGCGCGCCGTCAACGTCGCGCACTCCCGCTCGCAGGGGAAATCGAAGCCGCGAATTGGAGCGTCCGCAGGTCGCGGCAGTAAATTCTCCGGCTCCCCGGCGGAGGAGGCGGCGTCGAGTTGCTTCGCTCGCTCTCACCTGGATCGATGGCGTAAGGACTGTCCAAAAATTTATGTGCGTCCCGTCCGCGTATATAACCCGCGGCGAGGTTTCTTCCGGCCACGATCAACTCGCCGACCTTCCCCTGAGGGACCAATCGCATATCCTTGTCCACCAGGTAAATTATGCAGTTGTCGATCGGTTTGCCTGCGACAGGAATAAACCGAACGTTAAAATAACGACCGTCATTATTTCCTCGCGCCGCGCGCGCGCGCGCGCGCGCGCGTGCGCGAGTCGACGACCTTTCAGGCTCAGCGGCGGTTGAGCGAGAAGGAGGGAAAAAGAAGAAGGGAAAAACGATCCTTACCGATCGGCACTTTCTCCATCCCCTGCAGCTGCGCGCGTTGGCTCAGCAGGTGGTACGTGACGTCGCACATGATTTCCGTGCTGCCGTAGAAATTAGCCAACGTCTTGCCGTGGTCGCCGAACGTGGCAAAAAACTGCTCGGCCAGCGCTACCGGCAAGGTCTCGCCGGAGCAGATCCAAAGTCTCAGGCGGCCGAGAACGCTGTCATTACCGTAGTCCTGCGACGATGCAAAGCGGCGATGAAGCAGCGATACAAAGTAACATTAGCGGCCAGCTGTGCACGCAATAGGCGGCTAATAAACGAGTATTTCCATTGCGCAAATTGCCCGCGTGTAAATCACCCTCACGGCGCGCGGCGGAGAGAGAAAAAGACGGCGTTTACGCGCGAGCCTTTTCCAAGCGATGCGTGCCGTTAGCGAGACAAATGGGGTGGCCGCGGGTTACGCGATATATCCGCCTTCACCGGCCGACAATCCCCCGACAAAGTAGCGACAAATCGCCGGCGATTAACTTCGCATAGCTCTCGCTAATTACGTCTCGCGTAATTCCGTAAGTCCGGCGCGTCCAATGCTCGCGAGCCGGAGAACTTTCTCAACCGCGGGGCTATCGGGTCGCAATTTCAGAGAGAGATGGGGGGTCATTGAACTTGGTCTTGGGCGCACTTGGGCAGCCGACATTCAAGCCGGGTCTTGCATATCCAAGATTGTTGCAGCTTCTGGCGTTCCGCAGCCAACGATTCGCCCGACAGGCGAGAGGATGAAAACTTGCCGATATTTTGGACATTTCTAATTTAATATTTTTAACATATGTGTGAAAAATCCGAAACATCGGGCTGCTCGCTTGAGACGAGATCGAAGCCAAATTTGCGGGACTTTGCCGAGGCAAATCCGGCTTCGCTGAGAAATGCCATGGTGGCAAAAATCTCACGCACGCAGAAGAAAAGCCGGTCTGGACGGCCGCCGTGTCTATATTTTCCGTCCATTTTACAAAAGCCCCCGACGCTCGATCGTATCTCGCGCGTTTATTATGCATTTATTATTATCGCCGCGGGAGTCAACGAGAACTTATTTATTCTAATAATTGCGCGCGATACCGAGAGCGCGGGAGATACGAACGGGAAAGCGCACTCAATAATCGTAACCTTTTGCAACGCGTGACGGTTGCGGGATTGTCATAAAATGGCCGGCGGGAAAATTCAGCCGATAAACAAGCGGCTTCAGCGCCGCTTCATGCGTGCGTAATGAACTTGTACTCACCCGCAGACCCAAATACATGAGCAATGAGCGCAGCAACGACGGCACGAGCACCAAGCGTTGTATCTGCAACAATATACGAATGACTTTCCGTGAAGCCGCACATTTTCGCCGCTCGCGGCCGTCAGACTCGAACACGGCGAAAACGCGCGACTCTTGACCCTCTGCGCTCGACGGATATCGTCTTCCACCAACTCGGCAATTATAAATATATCTTGTCATGATTGAAAATTTACTTTTTAGCTGAAGGAAGGAAATGTCAAAATTTATCGACGAAACTTATAAAATTTTGCATCTTGCAGTTTTTCAAAGCCGTTATCGTCGCTCTACGCTTTATTGTTTCATCGCTTTTTGTCGTTAAATTTTTTCATGCCAGCACACCTGGCATTCCGAGTTGCCGGAATAATGTTTGGTGCCAGCTGCGCTGGCATTCCGAGTTGCTGGAATAAATATTCGTGCCAGCTGCGCTGGCATTCCGAGTTGCCGGAATAAATGTTCGTGCCAGCTGCGCTGACATTCCGAGTTGCCGGAATAAATGTTCGTGCCAGCTGTGCTGGCATTCCGAATTGTCGGAATAAATGTTCGTGCCAGCTATACTCGCGTTCCGAGCGCAAAGGGTTGCTCTTTTCGTTCCGATTCACGATGCCGGCGCGTAGACGTTACCTGATGCTTCTCCAACAGCGGCACAAACCTCTCCGGGTCCTTGGTCACGCTCTTCGGCACCACCACCAGGGTGCGAGCCCGCAGCAGCGGGCCCCAGATTTCCGGGACACTGTCGCCGAACGTGAGGGAGGTCTTGAAAACGCAGCTCTCCTCGTCGTCGGCGTACGGCAATCTTCGCCATTGCCACTGCAGGCGGTTCAGCAGCGTCGCATGAGGTATCAGCACACCTTCGAGGAAACAGACTCGTAATATTGTAGCGTTGTATGATCCAGATTATTATCGCTGCATATATATCGCCGTATTGCGTTTATACAATTACAAGCGCAGATTCGAATTATCGATACCGAGATATTTTTGCTCCTTGTTTTTATGGAATGATATAAAACGCGGCGAACAAAATCAGCTTGAATTGCACTTGATTATAGATCTTGCGTGAGAAGTTGATAATTACCTTTCGGAATTCCAGTGCTGCCGGAAGTGTAGAGTACGATGGCAAGCTGACCCGAATGTCGCTCGGCCGCAGTCGGCGCGTTCTCCTGCTCCTGCGCGGCCTCTTCCAGCAGCTGCTCGTACGTCACTACCAAAGCGTCCTCGTAGATCGTCAAGTCCGCTGAAAGACGAGTCGCGCATTCAGCCTGAACGACTTGCTCCACCAGCTTCGGTTCTTATTTCTACGCGGCGTTAATTCGAAACAGAAGATGAAGGGACAAGGACGAGCCGTGGAATCGGAAACGAAAGAACTCGCGTCACTTTGACGAATCAACCTTGACGGAGGCCCTCCTCCCCTCGCCTCGGGCAGAAGAGAAAGAGAGAGAGAGAGAGAGAGAGAGAGAGAGAGAGAGAGAGAGAGAGAGAGAGAGAGAGAGAATCGGTCTCCTTCAAGGTCCCCCTCGCGCGCAATTACGGCGGAGGCGCAATAAAGTCTATTCTTGGTCTGCGATAGCTCCGTCGAGCAGATGATTATTCAATCGCTGCCGCAAATACAAACTCGTTTGGCGGTGAGACGAGCAGGAGAGTCGCAAAAACGTAATATCATCGGCGAGGAGATTTCGCTACGGAGAATTCGCGAACTGCACGTGCTTTTCCTCGTTGCGACTGTAACTTCACGCTCCCCACTTCACGCTCGCCACGGCTACCGTTTCATCTTGTGGACGAACGCGGCGAAGGAGTTCGACGAAACCGGCGACGAGACTCACCCGCTTCCTCGGCCAACACCATCAGCGGCTGCGCCTCCTCCAGTATATGCTTCACCCTGGCCGTCGGGAAATCCGCGTCCAACGGCAGGTATGCCATGCCAGCCTTCAGGATGGCCAGCAGCACGGTCGGCAGGCGATCCGAAGGTTTCATGCAGACGGCCACGAGCGAGGAGGAAGTCGCGTTGACTTTGTCATACTTGCGCAAGGCGCGCGCCAACCGATTGGTAATCTTGTCCAGCTGCTCGAAAGTCAGCGTATGCTCCTGGCCACTGTTGTCTGCGGGAAATTCGGTCAGTGACGTTAGTGAGTCGACTCTGCGGGTTCATCGTGGCGAATTTGAAATTGCCCGATTCGACCCGAAATGAACCCGTCCAAGCGCAGCCGTAAAAGTGAGAGAAACAGACAGCTGGGCTCCTTATCACATTCTCGTAGGTAGCGCTGCTTAACATAACTGGCCGGTCAAACTGGTCCGACATGTGGAGCGCGATTGTTGTGGGACGACTGACGAATCAATGACGCCTAATGCACCTCGGAACTCCAACGAATACCTCTCGATTACGTCACTCTCGATTTCGACCGACGCGAGTCCTTTGGCGCGGGTATGTTCAAATCGCAAACACCGCGCGGTAGTCCTAATGCCGTTTCTCAGGCCGTTCCTCACCCTCGAGGGAAAATATGAAGAGAAGTTGTAGAGGGGGAAAAAAAAAAGGTTTCTGCGAAAGGAGCAGAATGCTCTGTTCACGAGCACCGATAAATATATCATGCAGGTCCTCTAAGGACAATTACGTCGCGTCTACAATCGCGTCATTGCTCGTGCGACGCTCTTCGGCATCAGCACCAAGGTGCGAGCCTGCGGCAGTCGAGCTTCTACGAAGGACTCCTGTCGTGGAGAATACCTCACGATCCCCCCTCCCCCCCCGCCCAGCGCTGAGGACACGTCAGCGCGGAGGCATCATCGAGTGAACGGATTTGATTACATCGCGCATCCTGGCATTCCGGTTATCGCGCGAATCCCGCCGATATCGTGGCGGTCGCATTGTTGACCCGTTTGTATAAACTCTCGAGGGACGGCCGGTCGAGACGAAGCGGCTGCTCTCACCTTCGTAGCATATCGCAGTCCTGTCAGGATGGCCGGCCGCTGCCCGGACGAACAGCTCGTGCACCAGGTTCTCGTCCCGCGCCGTCTGCTCGCCCTTCAGCACAGATTGCTGCTGCAGCGTGCCCATCTGCAATGTTTTCCCTATGTTTTATGAAGCGCTGGCGGGAGTGAGGCAAGGAACCGCGAGAACGATAGTTCGCGCTGACGGGCTGAAGCTAGAGACTATTCAGCGGCGGGCATCAACAACTCGCCAAACCATAAATAATGATACGTGCGACGCGCGTGCTAGTCGCCACGCTAATTTCGGCGTACGCGAAGATGCGTCGGATGAGGTTCGGATCGGCTACGAGTACGCGCGATACGAATTAATGAGCGCGCGAATTAATTATCGGTAATTAGCGCGGCAGCGAGTGGAAAGCGCGCAGCTGCGACTGCTCTCGCCCGTTCAGAAAAACTACCGGCTGACACACGTCTCTGATTTCACGTCTCACGGTTGACACTGAATCGGCCGCGAGAGCCGGGCGGAAAAAAAGACATCTCCGGCGGAATTGCGGCGGCAAGAGGGGGACCCGCGGAGGGAAGGTCGTTCACACACGTGTGCGTGCTCGCATCCGAAATCACCGCTGGACATTCCAAGCCAAGTCGTCACGCGCTCGAAGAAAAAGAAGGAAATTAAAACGCACGTGGGAGAGGAGGGGGAGAGGAGGTTCATTGTTGAGTCGCGCGACACTTCAGCTTCGCTTTCGACTAATGAGCCTGCGACGACATCGAGCTGCGAGTCGCGAGACGGGCTAACGCAAACGCCACATGCAAATTACAGTCAATAACGAAGCGTCAATTGCACGAGCGTGTTGTTGCACTTTGATAACGGCGAGATTCAACGGTCGTCGCCGTTTTCGTCGCAACGGCAGTTTCCGCGGCGTGGAAGGAGCACTCGCTGGCTTAACACGTCATTGCCGTTCACGCGATATCGCGTGTTGCGGCCCATCACCAAACGGCCGTTCACGCGATTGTTTTTTATTAGGAGTGACAAACCAGGACCCTCGAAAAGACTCAGTTCAATGCCAGTTCAATCGTGCAGAAAAACGACTAAAAATAAATAAAAGAAAAAATAACTTTGGCCACCACACGAAATTCAAATTTTCAGTTTGGCAATGAACGTGTTAAGCAACTTTTCAATTGTTAAATCCGTCGGAGGAAGAGAGAGAGAGAGAGAGAGAGAGAGAGAGAGAGAGAGAGAGAGAGAGAGAGAGAGAGAGAGAGAGAGAGAGAGAGAGAGAGGATAATGACAGGGAGAAGAGGAGAAAACGCCGTTCTTTCCCGACGAAAACACGTGCTCGCTTCGTCTCCTCTCTCTTCGGCCCACGGCGATGTCGATCTCCGCGACATCGCAGCCAAACGGGGACCGAACGACCTCACCGGCGAAATACCTCTTCGATCTCGCACTCTGCCCTCGCAACATCCCGACACGCACTCCGTCACTCACCTCGTGTCACTCTCTCTTCTAGCCCGCTCGTCGTCTTCAGCGGTGTCCGATCAACGCCGGCCAACACCTCCGCGAAACTGACAGCACTCGCCGCTCGCTACCGTCGACCGCGCTATCGGGAAGTTGTCGAAATCCTTGACGAGGCCTCTTTCTTTTTTCTCCTTTCACTTGCAAACGTTGGCCGCGAATTTCCTTCCTTCGGCTCGACCGGCCGCTTTCTTAGTCGTTCCTCTCGATCGGCGCTGCTCTTCCCTCTTCTGCCCGGCTTCTCTGGCCTTACCCGCTCGGCTATCCTGGTTGTCCCTTCTTATTCTTCTTCTTCTTCTTATTTTTCTTCCTCCTCTTTCACTTCGTCCGTCGCTCGGTGGTAGTGGCACAATTCGGTCAATGGCGACTCGACGGCTCTCCGCAGGGCGTAAATAACGCGACCTCAGTGCTCGGTCATCGGTGAACGGGTTATCGAGAGCGAATGACACCTCTGGTTGGTACAGCCGGTACTTTTATATCGCGCCGGCTCCATGAGGACTCTGAATTGTTCGTCGTCCCCCATCCGCGCGCGCGCATCCAGTCGCTGTCTATTACTCACAGCGGCTTTTTGCGCCATTCTGATGAACGTCACTCCCCCTCGTCAATGTCTTCTGGGATCACCGGCACGCATCGGTAATGCAGCGGAATCATCGGCTGTGGGCTTCCAAAGACCCGCGGCCGTTCGCGATCATTTGCAAGCGTCAATCGCGCGTCAGATCTCCGGCGGTGAAGATCCACTCCCCGACTAGAAATTTTGATCAGGTTCACCTAACATTGATAAAGATCTAATAGGGTGAATAAAGGGTAATCCTAAGTAAGTCAGTCTTTATAATGTCCTAACGACAAATGAGTAAGGAAGACCTTTATAAGGTTATAATGATTGGGTCCACATTAGGACCTTAACGTACCAACCTAGTGTATGATATAATATGGTTCAGTTAATCAGGTCCTTGTCGGGATCTTATTCATTGTACGTAATATGATTTGCATTATCAAGTTTTAACAAAACAATTTTTGGGTGTCATTTCCAAATATAAAGATGTTTGCATTGAAAAAACACTTCAGATCGCTTGAATATATTTGTAAAATGCTATAGAAATTATCCTTTTTTTAGCAGTCAATAAATAGTTGTAAAATTAACGTGACATGCAACTTTTCTCTTTAACACTACTTTATGTCTTGTCACCTTGTGACACTTAATGATCTTATGATATTCATTTTATGTTTCTTTTCCGAAACATTTTACAAGTATATGCTCAAGCGATCTAAAATATTACTTCATGCAAATATCTTTTTATCTGGAAATGAGATGAAAGAATTCTCAGCGTGTCATTTCTTATTTCTAATGTCACCATCCAATATAGCCGTGGCGAGTAATCAGGAGCCATAATTTGAAACAAAAGAAACGTAATAAGGATTCCATAAGGTAACTCAATAAGGACCTGACTATGAATCCTTACTAAGGTCCTGATATCCACGCTGCGTTACATGACTTACTAGAACCCGATAGTATTCTTATTAGGACCTGCTGTCCAAATGAGGTTAACCTGATCAGGGCCATGGGATAAATTTTTAGGGTCGAAGACGTCCCTTTGAGATCACCCGAAGCATCCTCGCGAAAACTCATGGCGTCGAGGATTTCGCGACTCACGCGCGCAATCCTTCGGATTGCCCTGGCGACACGCGCGAGGTCAGGTCGCTTTTTATTAAATCGGTCAATCATGCGGCAAGGTCGGGAGATTTCGGCTGTGATCTCACGCGGAGCTGCTCCACCACGAAATCGCAGCTGCGGTTTTCTTTTCATCTACGACGACTGGCAGCTGCGAGAGATCCAATTGCTCAAGCTGACCAAGCACCAGTTTGTTGACGCGTTTCATCATATGGTCCGGGATTACGATAAACTTCACGTAACGGGACGCGACGGGACGAATGAAGTGATGCAAAACCCAAAACCCGTTTTTTATATGCGGCTAATTAAAATAAAGAAATAAACATGCAGCCGCGCCGCGCGGCGACCGAGATCGTGCGACGCGCGTTCAACAGGTTCCGCGTAAACGGCGGATAATGACTTGGCGCTTTCTCAGCTCCGAAGTGAAAGGAATTATTTTCGAGTGATCCCCGTTACAGATTCCGTCGCGTCATTCGCGAACCGCGACTGAAGCGCTTCCGAAAAAATATGCGTAGGCGGCCGGCATGATTATTCAAACGAGACTCGAATCACGTGCAGTCGATTAATCGGTCATTTGCAGTCAGTTTTCCCGGCGAGTCACGCTTCGCGAGCGCGACCAGCGCCGACTTGCGACACGAGGAAAGTCAGAAGAGAGGTGAAGGGCCCGCCGGTAAAAATTCATCACTCGCGATTCCGCGCGCGCGATCCGACGTCATTACGGTCGTCCCTTTGGCCAGCTCGTGCTAATGCGATGAAGGAAGGGGAGCCCCCCGCGCGCGCGCACCCGAGATGTAACGAGACGTTCGTTTTCCTATTGCACCGCAATTTTCCTATTGCCGCAATGGACTCACGCGAGCACAACAGGAATGTGCGCGGCTTTCCGCGGGGAGCACGAGGAAAAGTCCAGCTACGACCAAACGCTGCGACCAAACAGACGTCAATCGCGGCGCACCACTTCCGCCTATCGTCTTATCGAGGAAACTATTAAGCTGCCGTTGACTCTCGATACGGCCAACAGGAAATTTCCTCCTCACTTTGTCTCGGCGTGTTTTCCCGATTTTTCTTTTCAACCCCTCCTCAATCGGGAAACTTATCAACTATTATTAACTATTATTGTCGAGTCGGTGATTTTTTTATTCATTTCTCAACGACTTGGTGGTCGCAGGCGGCTTTCTGAATTCTCGCGGTTTGTTGAATTCGCGGCGGGTCCGCGGTGGAAAGCGCTTCGCTTTTGCGCCGGTCTTTCCAAGTCAGGATCTGCGCAGCAGTAACGAGGTGGGCATTTTTCCATGTCGCGCGCAGCATAGCGCCATGAAAGGAGGAGGGCGTACTAGGTGGCGACGAGACGCCGTGCGTTCGGGACCTGCATCTTATTTTCGTTCCGAAGAGAGAAAAATATCGAGAGAGCGCGGTAGTCGCTAGATCGGGAAATCGAACCCGGGAGTCTTTCGCTTGCCGGGCGACTGCTCTAGACCACTGAACTACCTGACGCTCCACGCTCACGACATTCTCCTCTCCCTAGATAACGTTAAGAGATGTCGTTCGGAAGCGACAACTCCAGTGCTATCCCGAGCGCACGGCGACTACACAGAGAGAGGCATTGTTACTTGTACCTGGTGGTACAAGCTGGAGGTCTCTCAAAGTCAAAGGTTGCTGTGCGACGCGCGAGGCATCGAGAGACCTGGCCGACGATCGGTCTCTATTTATTAATCGAGCTCACGATGCGCGAGCTAAGATGTTTTCCTCGTGCGAGTGAATTCGCGACAGGTTGATATTTGCTCAGACTTACCACGCCTTCGGAAGCAGGGAAAATCCTGGAGTGACCGGTCAACTTCCTCCGCCGAGCCTCGAGCGGCACTCAGCGTTTCCCAATGACACACGTCGATTTTCGGAGCACCCGGAGCCTCGTTCTGCTGTCTCATGAATGACGAGATCGGCGTAAGAGCGAGAGAGCGTGTGTCTCGCGCAAATGAAAGGCGACGGGTTAGACGCGTGTTACAATGTTAATGGAACAAGAACAGACCGCTCCAGCGAGCGAGCCCGCGATTTATCGCGATCTCCCCGATCGAACCTCCGCGGGCGGTTTAGTCCTGAAAGGCCGCTGCGTCTTTATAATCCGCCTGCGTTCGCAACGGCCGACTGTCCACCAGAGATGTGCGAGCTATTCGAATTTGAATCGAATCGAGTCGAATTTAATGTAATTCGATTCGACTCGAATCCGAATCCCTATGATTCGAATCCGAATAATTCGAAAATTTCGAATCGCGAAGAATCAAATACATTAGCGTTTGCGCGCGTCAGCTACAAAACGGGCCATCTGGGCCTGTATGTTTGAACTCTTAACTTGTAATTAACTTGTAATTAACTTAACTATGTAATTAACAACTGAATCATAAATTACTTTAAATATTTAAATATATATTTTACTTTAAGATGATATTACAATATCAATATTTCCTTTCATATTAAAATCTTCCGTAATTATTATTGCATGTTTAATAGTCGTGTTAAATTTTTTAATGATTCGATTAGATTTCATTCGATTCGATTCGAATTCGAATGAAATTTTATAGATTCGATTCCATATAAAAATTCTTGATTCGCACATCTCTACTGTCCACCTCGGGAGGTTAACCCCTCGACTGGCGGAAACGCGATACTAACACATCGATCAATAAGTTCCGGGACTAACTACTAAAACAACATTTGTTTGAGAAAATTCTTCTTTATTCATCAACATAGTCTCCTTCAAGAGCGATACATTCATTCCAACGCTTTCCTAACTTTTCTATGCCAGCCGTGTAGAACGATCTTTGGTTTCAAAATAGGTGTTAGTTTCGGCAATCTCTTCTTCATTGGAGCCAAATCTCTTTCCCTGGAGCATCTTTTTGAGGTCTGCGAACAGCCAATAATCGCTGGGGGCCAAATCTGGAGAATATGGGTGGGTGCGAAAGCAATTCGAAGTTCAACTCATGCAATTTGGCCATCCTTACCATCGACTTGTGACACGGTATAGCGTCACTTAGTAAAACCATTGTAACTCAATGACACAATGTCGGAATGTCATGAAAGTTTGACACGTAACTTCTAAAGGTTGGTACTAATTGAGAATGGTATGGATTTGTTATTAGAGGCGCCTTCTGTTGGTTAGTCCCGGGACTTATTGATCGATGTGTTACTTGAGATATTTCTGCCGGATGAGTGTTTCTGAAAGGGTCGTTCAATTCGGTGATAAACTCGAAATGTAACGCGGCCCACCCCCAGAACTGTTGAAAAGAATACGAAGGTGAGATACGTCTTGGGGTCTTCAAGGTCACTCTTTTAAGCGGTGGACTCCAAGGATCAAGTGATCGAAAGTGACGAGTCCTCGAGCCGACGTGGATGACGTTAATTCGTTACTTGCAAATTTTACGCAAAAGTTTTGTGCATTTTCGCGCAATTCACTCTCTCGTAATAAATGTCCAGTTTTATTCTGATAAATAAGGTAATTATGATTTGAGTCGCCGTGTTGGGTCCAAGAACCCCAAGACGCAAGATTTCCACAAAACCGCTCGACTGTTGAAGAAGATTCATCTTTACCATCGAAGGTGAGAGCGTACACTTTCGTCACGACAACGACGAGAGACTGGGCCACCCACGGCGTTCTCTCTCTCTCTCTCTCTCTCTCTCTCTCTCTCTCTCTCCCTTGGCACTTTTGTTTCTCGCATTTGCTGCATGTAGTATGCATGTGCACGCAGGCGGTAAGTGGCACCTCTCGACTCGAATCGCGCCTCCTGCGCGCGGAAGGACCCGTATTTCATTATCTTGCGCGGCCGCGACGGCGATATTTTGCGTGTTACGCAACTTTAATTGGCTGTTTGATTGCGTCAAGTGCGAGAACAATAGCCGGTATCTATCCACCCATCCAGTCGGGCATAACCCTATTTTACCTTCTTAACCCCTTCCGTGGCAGAGCAAAATTCAGTAAAATGCACTGAAACCGCCTCCAAAAAATGACGGGGCGGATTTTTTCAATAATTTGTATACTTCAGTTTTTTTGGTCGCTGAAGCCGAATTTGAGATCAAAATATATAAATTCAAAATGGCGCATCGAATATGGCGACTAAAATGTTTAGAAATGCTTAATATTATAAATAAAAGTAATTGGTCATTTCTCAAGTCACTAAATTAACGATTTTTATTGAGTGCAAAAGTTCGTGCGGAGTTTGTGAGTAAAAGTCACACAGTGATTAGGCAAACAAAAATCTTTATTCAATCAATGATGTATTCTCCGTCGTTTTCTATAATCTTTTCCCAACGTTCTGGCAGCATACGGATGCCTCGATCATAAAAACTGCGCGGTTTAGATTCAAAGAACGAAGAGACGCCGTTTTTTAAGGCCTCCAAAGAGTCAAAGTTTTTTCCATTTAAATAATTTTGCAATGACCGGAACAAGTGATAGTCAGATGGTGCGATATCAGGAGAATACGGTGGATGCGTTAAGACATCCCATTTCAGGCTCTTCAGTTTGCGCAGCGTCTTTTTCGAAACGTATGGTCTGGCGTTGTCGTGATGAAAGACGACTCCCTTGCGATTTGACAAAATCGGACGTTTCTCTTTTATTTCTCGATTCAGATTGGTTAATTGGCGACAGTACTTGTCCGAATCAATCGTTTCGCCAGCGGGGAGAAGCTCGAAATAGATTATGCCCTTGCAATCCCACCAAACAGAGAGCATCACCTTCATCGAGTGCAAACTGGCCTTTGGCATTGCGTCACCATGCTCACCTGATTGTTTCCATGTTCGTTTGCGCTGAACATTGTTGTAGAGGACCCATTTCTCATCGCCCGTCACTAGTCGATCCAAAAACGACTCGTTATTGAGCCGCCCGAGTAAAGAAACAGCTGCAGAAATTCGCTTGATTTTGTTCTTCTCGGTCAGCAAATGGGGCATCCATATATCGAGCTTCAAATCGAATCCCATCTTTTTTAAACGCCGAAAAGCGGTTGATCGGTCAACGTTTAGTGCTGTAGCAACTTCTTCTGTTGAAATTCACGGATTATTGAGCACTAAAGTACGCAAAACATCGTAATCAATGTCAGAAGGTCGACCAGAGCGTGGCTCGTCTTCAAGGTTAAATTCTCCGCGCCGAAATTTAGCAAACCATTTTTCCACAGTTCGTTTAGCTGGTGCTTCATCCTGATAAACATCCTGAATGTTTTTTACGGCTGCGGCAACGTTTATTCCCTTCCGAAACTCGTAAAGCATAACATGCCGTAAATGCACCTTATCGATACTCATTTTTAAAGTGATATTTCTCGAAGCAGTTTGTACGAAAACAAATGATTTTTTTTTTAATAACAGCTGAAGACGTCACCTTTCCAACGTTATATAATATGTAGATGGAAGTATTAATGACAACACTTTATGACGCTTATAACTCCATCTATTGAAACTCCGCACGAACCTTTGCATTCACCCAATATATAAAGTCGCTCTTAACGCTCTTGCTGCTCGCTCTTCGTCGTATACATCCTCTGTTTTTTGGTACTACCGAACATTCGGATTCTTTTAGGCGCTGCGGTCAAACGACGCCGAACGTCGCGCGAAATCCATTGATGACGCCGCTGCCCTGTTCTAACGACGCCGATCCCTCCATCGGACGCCGCGGTCTCTCTCCTCAGTTTCTCCCTCTCATCCTTTCTCATCCTCGCACATCCCGTGTGTGAAAAAAAAATTTACAACTTTCCGACATTTTAATTTGATTATAGATAGTTTTTTTTATTAACAAATTATAAAAAACTAAGTTAAAATTCGTAATCAGCGACCCAAAAAATACTTGATAAAAATTCTACAACAATAGTTATTACACTTAAAATTCAATACAACACGAAAATGATCTGGACGCACCGGTGCGTCCGTGCCACTTACAGCACGGTTTTGGCTGGACGCACCGGTGCGTCCGTGCCACGGAAGGGGTTAATCTATCACATCCGTGGCATCCTCACCCTATTGTATGTGTGTGTGTGCGAGCGCGCTCGCGCGCCGGAAATTTCATTCTCTTCTGTCGCGTACGGTAAACTCGAAGGAGAGCTTCACGAAGGTCGACTCGCGGCCCGCGACGAGCAGAGGCCGCGCATCCGTCTACGGTTACCTCAGGAATTCATCCGAATTCCCTTCAGACGGGGGAGATGAGATTTTACGTGTGTCGTCGGGAGGCTGTGTGATGTCAATGAGTCAAGTTGATCCCCGCGTCGCCCGCGCCGCCGCGAGTCTCACGAGAGAGAGAGAGAGAGAGAGAGAGAGAGAGAGAGAGAGAGAGAGAGAGAGAGAGAGAGAGAGAGAGTCTGACGAGAGTGTCTCACAATCGAATGTCTGACGTGTCATCTTTATTCATGCAGCACAATCGAATGCTCACGTGCGCGTGCTTAATGAACGCGACCAATGAATCAAGCGATCGACTAGATTACCGATAAGACAAGTTTCCTCCCGGTTCTGTCTCCCGTCGGAAGAGAGGAGCAGACGGACGACGAGGACAGAGAGAGAAAGAAGGAGAGAGACGAGCGGACGTATTCGCTTCATTTATTATTCGCGCGAATCGTCATCCAGCAGCGCCGACGTTAAACGCTCTTCTCGGATACGTTGCTCCTGTTGCTGCCCGTCCTCTGCGGCGGCGGCGGCCGCCTCGCCCGCTGGATGCGGCCGGTTATCGTCGCCGGCAGCTCCCGGTCGCCGCTCATCCTCCGCAAGCTGGTGTCCCTGTCCGACTGGTCCTTGCCCTTGGGACACCGCGGGCCCCGTATGTTCACGTAGATGACGTACACGGCGAGGGTAACCACCAGGAACATTGCGACCCCCACGCCGCTCACCGTGCACACCTGCAACACACGGGACGCGTTGAATAAAGCGCGGCTCGCCCCTACGTCGCAAGGATCGTCGCTACCGTTAACTATCAGCAAGGCGAGACGATAAGCAAAAACATGATTAAAGTCAAACAAAAGACGTGCAAAGAGCACCATCGTCCACCACTCGTGGTCGTCCATCCCCGAGACGAGGACCTGCGCGTCCTCGTTGTCCTTCTCGTGCAGTATCCTGATCTCCTTGACGGTGGTGGTGCATCCTGAACGCGGCTCGCGGCCCTCTCGATCGAGGAGCCGCCTGAACGCGAACGGCATGCTCTCGTAATCGTCTGCCGGCGTCGTCGTGCCATCGCTCTCCCCGGCTCCTCCCTCGGCCTCCTCGCGCAACTCTTGGCCCCGCTTGCTCCAGTGGACCTGCGCCTTGTCCCCAGCGACGATCACGCCGCCCAGGTGCTCCAGCTCGCCCGCCCTCGTCCTCATAGACACGTCGAGGAACCGCGGCACGGCCTGCGACTCCGCGTTGTGCGCCATCAGCACGCTCGACACCACGTGGTTCCAGTCCAAGGGGTTCACCTGATTCTTGCACCTCTTGTTCTTGCTGTGGCAACAAGGCATTGCTGTGAAAAAAGCTCCGAGACGGGCCAGTCGGGCCAAACTCACCACAGCATCCTCAGGGCTTTCGCGTAGATCCCCACGGCGTCCTCGAGCCACCTGACTTGCCGCAGCTCCTCGGCGTCGTACCTGCCGCGGCCGTTGCTCTCGGACGCCCACCAGCGCGAGTTCTCGACCCGCCGCTCCAGGCCGTCCATTACATTCCTGATGGCGAAGAATTTGACGTCAAACAGCGCGCGCGCGCTGCGAAAAGGAGCCGCCCGCTTTTCGGCGCGCAGACTGACTGATCGCCGCCATGTCATTTGAGCCGCTTGAGACGAACAACTTTTGACTTTGCTTCCCCGCCGTCGAGCGGCGAAAATGGCCGGGGCGAAGTTGATTGAGGCTCGCGCGCGGTGATCTCGCTAATATCGTAACGATTCTGCGTCGGGCCGGTCATTAAGGAGACTGGAGGGTCAGATTACTAAAGAATCGTGCTTGTTTTTTGATAATATTTTGTGACGAACTGAATAAATGTGCAAGAATGAAAATTTTACATATATTTATATAACATAATGAAGAGTAGACAAATTTCGTTTTTAAACAAATACTCATATAAATATACGTCCACTTAAATTTTAAACGCGTTTTTCTCGAAATTTTATTCTTCAACTTTTTGCAGTGATTTCTCCGAAACTGAGCTTCGTATCGATTTGAAATTTTGAAGCAACTAGAACATTACAAGCGCGCGCTACGCGCGCGCCATTTTAGCATTTTCATATTAAAATTAAGAATAAATATTATAGATAAAAAATAAAATCTGGAATATAATAGAAGTTCAATAATATCCGATTCCAACATACGATGTATCAGGCGCATACATTTTGAAATTCCATAACACATATTTCCTGCATAGTAACGCGTCACTGTCTGACCAATGAAAATTTCAACGTTTAGAATTTCTATTCAAGACCATCTTAAGCTCTCTCTCTCCTTCTCTCTTCCTCTTTCTCTCTCTCTCTCTCTCTCTCTCACACACACTCTCTCTCTCTCTCTCTCTCTTTCACACTCGCACAATCTCTCTCCCTATCTTCTTCATACTCTCTCTCTCTCTCTCACACTCTCCTCTCTCTCTCCCCCTCTCGTTCTGTTTTTCTGTTTCGTTCATTCTCTCTCACACACTCTCTCTCTCACACACCCTCTCTCATACTCTCACACACACTCTCTCTCTCTCTCTCTCTCTCGTTATATTTCTTACCATTACCCGATAAAGAAGAAAAAATATATTATACCTTATTATTTTATATTATAAAATTGTTAACCTGATATAACCCCATTATAACTCCTTTCGTACAAACTGTCATTCAGCTGTCATTCGCCGCGATGACAGCTGCGAGCGACACGAATGCAGTCGTGATCAATCAAGATGATCGAGACAGTCGGGACGGCTAATCAACATCGCGGAAAAGAGGCTTCAACGCTTCGATAAGAAATATATCCACGATAACACGCACTTTTTTGGAGAGGATAATATTTGTTCATCTGGCTCTCAGGTGAGCTATGGACAACTCCATCAAAATATTTCATTTCGAGATATTGATTTTTTTATTGTAAAAGAACTGAAAAATTTGAATTTTTTCCTAATAATAGCTGCCATTTTATTAATTTTGTTCGATTTTTTTTTTATAGTGCTTCACCGGATAATGATAAGCCTTTTAAGATAAGATTTCTAGCTAAAATTCGCTCTGATCGCTCTGATCGCTCTGATCGGACCACCGAGAGAGCCGAGATATTACTGCAAAAACGATAATTTGAGAAAAAAAGGAAAGTATATTTCAGCTATATATATCGTACATTTATACGAGTATTTGTTAATAAATAAAAATTTCTACTCTTCATATGTTGTATAACTATGTCTAAAATTTTCATTCTTGCACATTTATTCAGTTCGTCACAAAATATTATCAAAAACAAGCACAATTTTTCAGCAATCTGACCCTCCAGTCCCCTTAAAGGCGAAATCTCTCGGTCGCGCGCACGCGCGAACCAATGAGGAAGTTTCGCCGCGTCGTCGCCGTCGGCCCGAGAACGATCTCGAGCAGCCGCCGTTATTCCGCGGAGTGAAACATTCCGACGCCGCGGTAGGGAGGAGAGAGAGAAAGAGAGAGAGAGAGAGAGGAAAAAGGAGCCGGCGATACCGGCAACTCCGACGTCGGTTCGACGAAAAGATCCTTCACCTCGATTGCGTCCAACGGAAGTAGCTGGAGAATCGCGATTTTCCTCTTTCGCGTCGGACGAGAGAGAAGAGCGCGCGTCTCTCCGACTCGGGAAAACTCGCGTCATCTGGACGGCGGAAAAAATAAGTGATTTCATCGATTATCATTATTTGTAATTAGTCGTCGGCTGAGATACGCGTTAAAACCCATTTTACCGAGAAGAATGGCCTTCTCAACGCTCAATTACTCGTCTCTCCCTTTCTTCCGCTCATGTTCGCCCCCCCCCCCCGCCCCCTTCAACTGCCTGTCTTTTCCTCCACGTATAATCGCGATCAATAATTCATTAACGCCGCGTGCGTAATTCCGCCGCGGCGATTATAGTGTCGAAGCGGCGCGCGGCGGCGCGTCGCGCGAAGAAATGCGCGGACATGATATCGCCGGGATTTATGAGCGTTCGAGAGCGTGTTATGTGGGTTGCGACAATTACGGACTCAATCCCGGCGTCGCCGGGAACATAAATCTCTGGCGGAAGTCTCGCGCGCGCGGCGGCGGATTAATTACCTCGAGTCCTCCAGCAACAGTACGGTGTTGCTGCCGTTAATGCGACTCAGATGATCCTGCGCGCCTCCTTCGCCGACGATCAGCACGGTCGCGTTCATGGCCGAGCGCAGGAACTTGCCGTCCGGTTTGCCGACGTGCACGATGTGCGACGTGTAATCTGCGTGAAAAAAAAATTAAACAGCAATGGACAATGCAATGGCGATGCCTGCGCGAACCGGCGCATCGGCGGGCCAACGAAGAAGGAACGAAGAGGGGGACGGGGGAAGAGAACACATGGGGCGACTCCGCACCTTCCTCGTCGTTATCGTGAACTATGACGCAGAGTTCCCTGGCGATGGCGCTCATCGTCAGTTTCTTCGCCATGTTCTGCACGTCGCCGTCGCTCTCGTCCTCCACGTTGGCCACCAACGTGAAGGACCGCCACCTCAGGGTCTCCACTATCTTCAGGATCGCCTGCGGAGCAGAAGAAGACGCGGCCGATAGCGCGATTCGGGAATCTCGACTTTGGCTCGACTTTCCTTCGTTTCCGGGAAGCCATTCGCGCGCTCGGCGACCCGATAATTCGCTCAACTGCGTCCGCTCAAATCGCGTTCCGCGAATCCGCTCATTTCGAATGCGAACAGCACGACAATGCTTTCCATTTATCCCGCGTCTAATAATCCCGCGAATAAACGCGCCGCGTTCGCGGCTCATGTAATTACGAGTCTTGGCATTTTCCCGCTAATTATCCGCGCATACGCCGCACAAATCGCCGAGATCCTCGGCGCAGCGCAAGCAGTTTCGTGAGAGAGCGAGCGCAAACGTGATCGCGGCGAATCCTCGAGTCTCGAGCTGCCGTCGAGCTGCGCTTTCAGGTGTTTGCGCAAAAGCTCAAAGCTGCGTCCCGCGCGCATTATCATTGCGCATAGCGCGCCTTGCGCAAAGCTGGGCAAAGTCCCAAGACGGCCGGTGAAAAACGGTAAAAATGACGACCGCATCCAGCAGGTAGGCAAGAAAGTTTGCGTCGTTTCAAGGTTTCAATGATGATACACAAGGTGGACCAAGCAACAACTTTCGTTCAAAAAAGTAGAGCCACCTTCGCGGCTTCTACGTCCCGCCTTTTATGAGAGTTTTCGCTTTTCGCTACTTCGACGTCCTGTCGATTTTCCTGCCTTGGCAAGTTTCTGAGACCAGCACGCTCGCTCGCTGCAGCACCCCCGCCGAATTTGACACGGCCACGCTGAGGTCACTTCCAATCGGTAGGGTGCACGCGTGTGCAGTCGCATGTGCTGACGCAGAAACGGCACAAACCTTCTCGGTTACCTAGGTGGATACTCACGCACCTGCACCACGTAGGAGTTGGATTCCTCCGGCAGAGGATGCAGGTACGGCGAGATCGACGGCTTCTTCACGATGTGCGGCACCTTCAGTATCGAGGTCACCTTGTGCACCGCCTCGGCATTGGTCGTCGTGTCCGGCCCAATGATTCCTGGCACAACGAAAGGCAGCTCTTTTTCGGTCCTCAAACTCGGCCGCGCGAATTAGACTGCGATGGACTCGGTTACGCGAAACATGAGGGGGGAGGGAGAAGATTGTCGATTTACCTAGGTAATGCGGCGGGTGCAGGCAGTTGATGTCAGCCCACACGAGAGCCTTCATGGCCGCCTTCAGGGCGCCCGTAATGCTGCCGCACGTGTCCAGAACGGTGATCCCTGCAAAGCCGGTGGATTTTTTCAATCTGGTTTTACTTAGTTAAGGTTGGTAGGCCTTTGACTAACCCAGAAGCGTTCCGCAATTGATCGGCTGACCAATGATCAAGATCACAACAAATCTATCCATTTCTCTATCGAATATCAGGAAATTCAGAGAAATGGCACACAGATGTGAATGTCCACAGCTGTGATCAGCTGATCAATTACGGGACACACCTGAGTTGGTTCAAGGCCCGCCAACCTTACAACGAAAAGCAGCTTCTCCGAGATCGACTTCGGGACAGGCAGTCATCGTTTCCCGGGGCTGGTGCAAATTCGGCTAGACGGGTCTTTCTCTCTCTCTCTCTCTCTCTCTCTCTCTCTCTTTCCCTTCGCTCCCTCGCCCCGCGCGGGACTCTTGACTTGATGACGCCAGAGGCGAGGTGACTCATAGAGCAAACGTCTGCGGGGGATCATATCGGGAAGTTCCGCCGCTCCGACAACTCTCGTCTCTTCTCGCGATCCCGACGCGTTTCAGTTCCCCGATCGACATCTTCGACAGAAGAGAGCTCTGGAGAAGCGCTCAGTCGGTCGCGCGTGTCTGGGATTTCCTCGCTTCTGACGTTATCATCACTCAAGGTGGTTGCGGCAAGGATTACTCTCTGCCAAAGCCGAGAGAGAGAGAGAGAGGGAGAGAGAGAGAGAGGGAGGGAGAGAGGGAGAGAGGGAGGGAGAGAGGGAGAGAGAGGGAGAGAGAGAGAGAGAGGGGAGAGAGAGAGAGAGAGAGAGGGAGAGAGGAGAGGGAGAGAGAGAGAGAGAGAGGGGAGAGAGAGAGAGAGAGAGAGGGGAGAGAGAGAGAGAGAGAGAGAGAGAGAGAGAGAGAGAGAGAGAGAGAGAGAGAGAGAGAGAGAGAGAGAGAGAGAGAGAGAGAGAGAGAGCGAGCTTCGTCGGCTGCGCGCCGACCAGGCTTGGCCGGGGGGCGGTTTACCGATCTCGAAATCTTCGGTCCGATTGTTGTGAGCCTCGGCGAGCAGGCCGGCGGCCTCGTAGAGCATGACGCCCTTGGTCGACGGTTTCGCGCACGACGGGTCGTCGTGCACGCTCGTCAGGAATGAGATTTGCGCGGTGCCGCTGCATTCCGTACGGGCGCCGCAGGTGCACGCGGCGGCAACCAGGAAGATCACGCAGCAGGCTCGCGCTGCGCGGCTCTTCATGGCTCGGGTCGGTCGGTCGGTCGCAGAAAATCGAGAGGATGGCACAGCTATCGCGCGATACTTTTTGTCTCACGTCGAGATACCGATGCAAATGGCGGCGAACAAGCAGACGACGCGCATGGCGCACCGCGACTCGCGCGGTCGAGCGAAAACGGGACGAATTTCTGCCGGGCCGGCCTCCTCGAGTGCGCCGGCTGATATTGAGTCCCGGAAGCTTTATAAGGCGCGGCTGATGCGCCGAGCGAATTTCTAAGGCTTTAAAAGCGTCCTCGAGCTAAGCGGCAGAAGCTCTCAAAACGGCATCGAGGATCGCGTCGTCGATTTTGCGAGCGCGCGCGCTCCACTCGCTCTCTTCCTCGCGCGGCTAAGCGAGCAAGGACGTTTACCTTTTACTTCGTCGTCTCGTTCGGCTTGGCATCTCGATTTTGTGTTGTTCAAATGCCACCTGTCAACGGATTGCAGCCGGCAGGGCTGAAATTGATTGATGTCTTGATCGGTTTGCCGCATAAAATTATTCCCCCGTTTCCCCATCCCTTCGCACCCTCTCTCAGCTTGCGCTATGGGCCGCGCGTGTTTGCGAAAACAGCAGCCAAGCGTGACGAAGAGCGGGAGGGAGTATTTTCCTAAATATTTCGGGGCTTGTTTCTCTTCTGTTGCTTTCGTTTCTCTTCCGACGAGATCGCGGCTCGTCGTGAGAACCCCTCACGCGATTCTCACGCGTAAGCTCGTTTAACGCGACGCGTCGCGCCGCTACGAAGAATCCTATATTTAATCTCCGTTGCATCACGCCGCCCTTGCGTAACCGTCGGATGAGTAAAGTGCGTTGGAAAAGAGAGCCGCGCGAGATGCGGCCTCGGCTGTTGAACGTTTACCACTGCTAAACCTCCTCTCCGTTGCTCTCCTCGTCGGGCACGACATGAGTTTTTGCTCGCGGCGGCTAATCAGTCGCGGGAGATCTGACGTTGCTGCATCGAGCGATACTGATAACACTGATAACATAGAGGGCAGTAGACATCAAGAAGACACGCTGATCGCTGCGTGCGACTTCGATTAATCCCTGCGAGTAGCGCGAGGTGGCACCACGCTGCCTTTTCTGTCGGGGGGCACAGGGGAATTTGTCTCGTCGGGGCCGATCACCATCATCTCGTCTTTCAATTGCACGCTTTATTCCACATTCGCGAGAGCTAGCGATCCAGGCCAGGTGCTTCTTCATGGAGGAACGCGCGCGAGACAATAAGGATAAAACTGAAACCGAAGCGGCCCTCCTCTCGTCCCTCCTCGGGCGCATCCTTCTTTCTCGCATTTCAAAGGAACGACTATCGCGCCGCCCGGGGGGGAATCCGGCTCGGCGAGCGTCCTCGCGATGGATAATTGGCAGCCCCGAATCGACGTCGGCTTTAACAATCGGCTTAGCGTGAGGCCGCGCAGCCTTACGAACGTTCTCCTTCGCTCACACAGCCAGGCGCGAGACAGGTCTTTGATGTGAGGGGATCGCGCGGACACAAGACGAGACGTATCTCCGCGGTGAGTCGGGGGTAGAGGGGGAGGGGGGAGGGGAGAGCGCGCGAAATAGACGGGAAGCATGGGCAGAGGCCGACCACGCGGCCGCGCCATAACTCTTTCGAGCGGCATGCAGGCGAGCCGCGAGAAGCGATCTCTGCACTTCAAAGGCAAATAAGAAAAAGCGCGGAAGGATATATTTGCGTCGCGTGCGCGCGCACGCAGCCATTACTCACGCTGGCGCAGGACCAACGATAACACACCGGCGGACTTTTAAAAGCCTGCAAGACGCTGGACTCGCTCGTCGCACCTCGAGCATCCCCGCGCTTTCTGCGCCTGCCACCTCCGAGGGTGGCGCGCGGTCTCTCTATTTGTGTGTGTGTGTGTGTGTGTGTGTGCGCGAACGGATGTTGCACAAATCCCGCTCGAGTCCTGGGCCAACAGCTCCGCGTCGTCCTGCCGAGACGACATCGACTGCGACAACAGCGAGTCAGATCGAGTCAGATCGACCGGCGAGTCTCGAGATCTCCCCCCTGCCCTCCGCTTGCCCGCCGAGTAAACACGAGCGTTTCACGCACGTCACACGTGCGCCGAGTCACACGAGCCGCCGCCGCCGCCGCCGCCGCCGCGCCGTGAGAATTTGCGGCCTAGCTGGCCGTCCTTCACAGCCGAGAATCTCGCTCGCGGGAGACATCGTCGGCCCCGATAAATTACAGTCTGCCGAGTCTCCGCGGAATGTTTACCTATCCGCCGGCGTGTGTTGGAAACACAAAGTCGCCCCGCGGACAGCGCGAGACGCGGAGCACCCGCGCGCAGAGCCCGGAAAAGCCGGAGGAAGCGTTGACAGGCGGCGAAGACGTGTCGGTCAGTGCGATACGATTGTCGTTCGTCGCCGATATAAATCTGTAAGGCGCGTCACCGAGATCGTCTTCGGCGCCGCGCCGGCGCGCGCGGGTCGAGCCGCGACGCTGACGAATGCCGCCGATTCCGCGAGAGAGCGTGTCCCGTAATCGAGCGGAAACCGAGGCGCGAGGATTGGCCTAGATCTCGGGGAAAGTCCCGTGCGGGAAAAGCGCGCTGATTGCCGGCGCTTTGACCAGCGCGGCGGTTTTCGGTGCACCGCGCCGCGCCGCGCCGCGCTGCGCGCCAAAAGTGTCGCGACGCAACTCGACGGACGCTAGAAAATGCTTCGGTTCCGTCAAACGTCGCGCGGGCCGCTGCTTCTCCCGCCGCTTCTTCCCGTCCTCCGCAATGTTATACATTGCGGAGGCAAAATTCACATCCACAGGGTGTTTGAAAAAAAGGTTGACGACCTTAAGGGCAGACGGCGGTCGGACCGAACGGAGGAGAAAAGGAACCTAGCAAAAAAAAAATTAATATCGTCCGAATTTCGAGCGATTATTGATTTTAATCGAAGCAGCTGACTCGCTCGCTCCTTCATCAAAATCAACAGTCGCCCACAAATGCTATTGTTCCATCATTCACCGTCACTTTGTTGTACCGTCATCTCGCGTCTCGCGTCTGCTCCGTTGAACGGAATTTCGACGCGCACGTTGACGTGATTAGAGCGGAGCCGGTCGCGAGAGAGAGAGAGAGAGAGAGAGAGAATTACAGCGAGAGAACGCCGTACACTCGCTCGCGGCTCGCGGGCCCATGTGCGATACACACGCTCCGCGATTAAAATCTACAATGTTAAACGAGGCTAACGTTGAACAGACCGTTGAATTACGTTCGCCATCATTCGTCACAACTGTCTCGGCGGTATTTTCTTCCTCTCCTGCGCGCGCGCGCGCTGCATAATCGGCTGTCGCCGCGCGGTAAGCTTGGTCGAGAGACTTCTCAAGCCGCACGCCGCGGCGTGCTTAACCCAGATGCGGTGCGGAAAAAATGCTCGGCGAGAGGCACGACGACGATGACGACGACGACGACGGCGCAACGCAACGAGCTGCTTAATCGCACAAGAAACGCCGCGCGAGATCCGAGTGTTTCGCGCGCGAAGCAACGCCGACAAAAATGAAGCCCTCCCTCTTTCTCATTCACTCTGCCTCCCTCCCTCTCTCTCTCTCTCTCTCTCTCTCTCTCTCTCTCTCTCTCTCTCTCTCTCTTCCGTTCACTCGGCGTTATTATATAGCGGTGCATTATTCAGCGCTGCCCATTCAAGTGGTAATGCCGAGATCGATTGACCGGGCGATCGGCATAAGTAGAGAATGCAGCATTCTCCGCCGAGAGCCGTGCGAGATCATCCGTCTTGGCGATCCCACAGGCGGCGCACGTCGTCGCCGCGGCCGCATACAAAACGCGTCGCGTGTTCGCGCGCGCGCGCTCAGATAATATTAAACGTAACGACAGCGCGGATTTACGAGGTTCCGGCGCGCGCGACAGGGGGGCGTCGGTCTCGAGGAGGTGCGCCGACCTCGATTCCGGATCTCCGCTTTTTCGGCGCGAGCGGCTCTCGCGGAACAATCGCTGGAAATCGAAAAAAAAAAAAAACGAGCGAGCGAGAGAGAAAGATAAATGCGTAATAAATCGTCGCTCCGAGGCGGGAGGAAAAATTCGCGGATATAAAACTCTGCTGGAAGAAATATAAACGAACCGATTGACAACGATTGATATGTAAATATGTGTCAATTATTTTATCAATTATTATGTCAATAATAAAGCGAAAGAACGAGGCGACCGGTGGTGGAAGCGGGTCGCGGCCGGAACCGCGGAAATTCTGATAAGTAATAAGTAATAAGGAGAAGCGGCAATTATGCACGTCAATGTTGCAACAGCGAGGTCGCGCATACATCGGCGATTCGACAATATTGGCCCACGCGCTGCAGCTCGAAGAGCCGCGTTTATCTCGACACGTGCGCGTGGGCGTGTCGGAATCACGTAGATGCAAATCGCCGCGAGCGGACGGGAAGCCGACTCGGTCAGTCTCGAGAGGACCTCTCGAAATCTGACAAAAGCCGCGCGGCGGCGGCCGCTGCCGTCGACATGGCCGCGTTCGCGCGCGACCACGGCCGCAAGCAAATGGAAGATCCTCGCGGAGATCCTCCGCGGCTTGTTAACGCGTCGCGAGCAAGATTGCGCGACGCGTCAACACGGCGCGGAGCTTCGCTCCGCCGCCGGTCCGGATGATATTCTTGAGCGGCCGGAGCGGCGGAGAAAAGAGCGCGCATGCCCGACGCAAGGGAGGCGCGCGTTCTCGAGACTTTGCGGCGGATTGAGCTCCACGTTCCATTCAGTGAACCGGCACTATTTGCGCGCCACGCTTCGGCTTTCCCGGACGCGGCGCGAGCACGGCCGGCGGCTCTCTTGACCAGGCAGCAGGCGGCAGCCGACGATGACAGCGGCGCGCCGAGTCGCGACGAACCACCTGTGAGAAGAAGAGAGAGAGAGAGAGAGAGAGAGAGAGAGAGAGAGAGAGAGGACGACGCCGGACGCCGTCGACGCCGGACGAGTCTCCACTCTCCAGCCAGGTCGCGCTCGAGTGACGATCGAGGACGCGCCGATAGGTCGCGAGCGACGGCTTCGATCGAGTTTGGCGGGCGATTCGCGATCCGGCGATCAACTCCCAGCCAGGCGACTTCGCTGGGCCTCTTCGCGAGCCCCGGGTCCCCCCCTCCCCGGCTGGAACGACCACGAGACGACGACGGTCCTCTGCCAAATGGCGCGTGGCTTTGGGAATCGATTAAAGGCCGCAACGGCGCGTGCGGAATTTAATGGCCCCGGAGCGGCCGCGGCCGCGACCGCGGCCGGCCGGCGGGTTTAATCGCGCGCGATGATCCACGAGCGTCGCCTCGCGCACACCTGCGCCGTGGAGTGTGAATCACGCGCCGCGCTGGACCGGACGGGAACGAGGAGCTCGGAGCCGTCGGGGACGACGACGACGACGACGATGCGGTGGTCTACTCGCTTCGTAACTCGCTCTCATCGGCCTGACGAGAAGGGATCGGCACGGTCGTTGCCATTAACGCGCGTGTCTCTGCGAAATTGTCTCTCCGGGGCGGAGAGGGAAGGACTTTTCTCCGCTTTCCCTCTTTCGTTCCCCCAACGTCGGGGGGGCTGACGCGCGCCTCGAGCCGTCTCGACGAGTGACGACGAGTGCAAACGACTCGGTTCCGCCGCCGCTGCCGCTCAAACGCTCAGCGCCGTTGGGAGAAATTAATCGTGTTAATCGCGGGATGAAACGCGGAGGATAAACACTCGACGTCGAGGCGCGTCGGTTGCCTCTCGCAAATTGATACTCTCCGCTGTCTCCGGGGCAGAAGGCACTCTAAACGAGGTCCCGTTTCGAGTGAACAAGCTAATCGGGACGTTTCCGCGCGCGCGCGCGCGATCTCCTCGAAGGCTCTCTCTCTCTCTCTCTCTCTCTCTTTCTCTCTCTCTCTCTCTCTCTCTCTCTCTCTCTCTCTCTCTCTCTCTCTCTCTCTGTCTGTCTGTTGGCGCGCGCGGTAATTAATGACGAGCGTTCCGCGGCACGAGCGAGACACACAGGCGGATGGATAGAGAGCGACTCGATGAAGTCACTTAAAGTCGGCCACCGCTACTCGACGAAAGCGGCGGCTCAAGCTCCGAGAAAGGCCGGCGTGGGACCGGCGGTCAAGTCACACGGCGCGCTTCCTCATGGATTTTCCCGGACCGCGTCTCGGCGCGACTCCGGCTGGCAAAGTCGCGGCACGGCCGAAAGTGCTGCCCACGTAAAGCTAAAATTCGTCCATTCAAAGCGAGAGAGAGAGAGAGAGAGAGAGAGAGAGAGAGAGAGAGAGAGAGAGAGAGGAAGAAAGAGCGCTCGCGCACATGCGAAGCCCGCTTCCACGAGTGGAAATACGCGATAGCGCAAAGCCGCGCGGGGCGAGACGCGCGCGAGAGAGCGCACAGCTGGCCTAAAAAGCCGCAGGAAGCTTCGAGAGTGTATTGATGGTGGCAACGTGAGGGGAAATATCGCGCTCTGCCGTGTCCGCGGCCTCAACGGCAGCTCTCAACATGCTGACGACCATGTCGACCGTGGCGATCGAGTTCAATTCCTCCTACTACACGACGGCGATCGGCAACAGCGCACTCGACGGATTCTCAGGTATTCTCGCCTCCCTCGTCGTCGTCGTCGTCGTCGTCGTCGTCGTCGTCGACGAAACTTCTCAACTCTGGAGACGATCGCATTGACGCGTTTCTTCGCTCTCGGCACGCGTTAGAGATCTCTCAATTAGCGATTAATTACACTTTGCAAGCGGCAGAACGGTCGACCCGACGCGTCAATCACGTCAATCAAGCCGAGAAATATCTGGCGGGATGAGACGATTTCCCGCTGAAGCGGCTCGGCGATACGCAAGTCCTGACATCGTCAGGACGTCTGCTTTCGCAAGTTGAAATTCCCGTACCTTGAATCGCGGTTCATATTTCAGCGAGAAATGCGGCTTCGTCCAACCAGACATTTCTCTCCCGACGGGATTCGAGTGGACAAAAAAAAACACACACACAATCGCATGATTCCAGTGATCGAGCCGGAGAACACCACTTCCGCGCTGTACATGCTGCCGGCTTACATCCGGACGACCTCGATGGTGGCCTGCATCGTCGTGATGATTTTGGGCATCGTCGGCAACCTCATGGTAACTTGGACTCTCACTTTGCCGCGGCACTTTGAGCAGCCACTGGCGTCTTGACATTCTGGCCAGAGAGAAAGAGAGAGGGGCAGAGAGAGAGAGAGAGAGAGAGAGACGGCAAACTGACCAGAGAATCTGTCTGGATTAAAATCAGCTTGCAAGCGCTTCATTTCATTCTTTTTTCTTCGTTTTCCTCCTTTCGGGGCTGCGAAGCGTGCTCGCGAGCGCCGCGCCGGTCGCGAAAATCCTGCGGGCCCGTTAAATCGGAAGCGTCCCGGAAGATTGCTCTATTCACCGTGTACGCCGTGTATCGTTAATCTCGCCGGTGGCACGTTCGCGTGGGCACACGCTCGACTCGAAAATCTTCCGAATAAATATATATATATATATATATATATATAAATCTTTTTTCACATTTTCCGCATCGGCGAGCGAAAGGGCCGCGAAAAGGGTGGGCGGCGACAGATAGCGCCGACGCGATGTTTAGAAACAGTTTTACAGAGCCTGTCGATTCCCGCCGGCCGCCGCCGTGCTCCGCAATATATCACCCGCGACAAGTTTGCCGGCAAATAATAGTTATTACAGTTTCGGCCCGCGCGCGCCGAAAATCCGAGCGCCGACGCCCTCGGGAATTCCGCGCGGGTGAACACCGCTGGCGCAGCGCAGCGAGAGAGCGGGCTCTCTCGCCAAAAAAGCCACCCTTCAACCGAGCGAGCTTGAAGGATTGGCTCAGGCGTCGCAGGGCAGAGCTCGAGCAAGAACGCGCAGGTCCGATGCCGATGCAGCCGGGAAACGGATTAAGCCGGATCCAACGCTGCAGTGAGAAATGTTCTCGAGCGTTAACGAGCGCGTAACAACGTCAAATCGCTCGCTCGTTCGCGAAGGATCATCCCGTGCGAGACGTCCAAGTGTCCTTCCAGGACCTGCGCGTCGAGACTCGACATGTCGCAATTATTCCTGCGCTTTCGTATTCACTTTGCGCTAAATCGCCGCGAAAGGGAATCTGAAATGCCCTCGATCAGCCGTCACGTCCAAAAGCCAAAGGTCAAAATACCCTCCCCTCCTCTCTCTCTCTCTCTCTCTCTCTCGCTGGTCGGTCGACGAGCTCTCTCGCACGCTCTCTCTCTCGTCCCCGTTCAGGTGCCGCTGGTCGTGCTGCGCGGCAAGGACATGAGGAACAGCACAAACATCTTCCTGGTGAACCTCAGCGTCGCCGACCTCTGCGTCCTCGTCATCTGCACGCCCACCGTGCTGATAGAGGTCAACTCGGGCCCGCAAATCTGGCCGCTCGGCGAGCACATGTGTGAGTAGCGCAGCGCATAATGATGTGAACACGCGCGGCGCGTGACGTACTTCTCGGCGCCCGTCCGCGTCTCTCCTGGACATGACGGCGGCGGCGGCGGCGGCGGCGGCGGCGGCGGTACGATGATGATCGGCTAGATCCAAAAATACCAGCCGTCACATATTTCCTCCACGGACGGCCCGCTCTCGCGAATCGACGCGGTTCGTTAACCAACACGCGTACATACACACGTTCCCATTGCGTCACGCGCGCGCGCTCGCTCGCTCGCTCCGCGACTTTGCCGGAATTTCGCGCCGCGGCGTTAACCGTTCTTTTCCTCGTGTTTTCTTTTTTTGTTCCTCCCTTTCTTTTCGTTCTTTTTCGAAACGCGCTTCGCTGGCACACACACACACACACACACGTGCGGATCATTCCGCGGGCGGGCGGACGAGCGAGCAGCGATCGCTCGCCGATTGCTCTCTCGCTCCGAGCGAGTCCGCCTCGGCCGCGCGCGATTCGGACGTTAATGACGTTGGACGTCGTCCAACCGACGGTTTAGAACCGCTTCGCGTCGGTTTGTCTCATAACGGCCGCCGGACGCTGGACACGAGCGGCAACGGGCTTTTATCTAGAGTGCACGGCGATGTCGCACCGCGGAAGGGTTCTCTCCGATGGAAAGTCTCTGACCCGCTTTCGTCATTGTCGAGCGCGCCGCGAGTGAAACGAGAGGAAGAGAGAGAAAGAGAGGAGAGATAAAGACACGAACAAGGAAACAAAACGCGCACCCCAGTCGCCGCACGTCGCGATGAATTTCGCACGCTCGACGTCGAACGATTTTCGACGAGCGCGCGACGTCCCTCCCCTCTTCGGCGGGGGGGGGGGGATGGGGACGATATCATTACATCGTTGTACGCGGCCTTGTCGGGCGGAGATAAGTAAAACAGCGCGACCTCGATAACGAAGGAGATGTCTTTTACGGCGCGGTGGCGGCTGCAGTCGGAAATGAAGTCGGGGAAGAAATTAATTCCGCCCGTCTCTCGTTTTATTACACGCGGCCAAATTAATTAATCGTCTCTCGAGAGAGCAGGAAGGAAGGGCGGCGGGGGAATCGCAGGGCCGGTGAAAAGTGAACGAGCCGCGCTCTCGTTCTCGCGATCCCTCATCGCGCGTCCCTTTGTGTCACTTCCCCGACGCGCTACTTCTCTCAATCTCGCTCGGACCTCGCGCAGCCGATAATTGATTGAAATTCCTCCCGAGACTCCTCTCCCGCCCCGCCTCCGCCGGCGGCGAAGACGCGCGCGGTCTATCCGCTCTCATCGCGCGAAGAATCCGCGCTCGTAAACCGTCGGCACCATATGGCGTTTGCGAGGGGCGAGATTCTTCCGGCTCGCGAGTTCTTACGAGAGCGGTCGCCTATATCGATATACTCCGCCCTCTCCCTCCAGCCCCGCTCGCCTCCTCCGCGAGGAGAGCGGCGGAGAAAGGGAGAGCACAAGCAAGAGAGAAAGAGAAGAGAGAAAGGGAGACGGCTCCGTGATGGCTCCTATATGAGATGCGGTTACCCGTCCGTGGAGGGTGGTCCAGATGGGGTGCAAGGCGAGGCGAAGAGGGTGGCATTTAGGCGTCTGGGTTTTATGAGGCGCATACGGCGGCTCGCCTTATGTCGATGTCCTCCCCTTCCGCGACGACGACACCGGCATGTCTCTCGGCATTCCTGATGCGAGGCTGCCGTCTTTCCCTCCCTCTCTTCCTCGCGCCCCTTCGGGGCCACGTAGCGTTTATTGCGACGTAAAACATCTCACGGCGGTATAATCGGGACGGGTATTACTTAGAAAGTGAAAAGTTTTCTTGCACCGCTGCCTGCCACGGCAGGCCCGGCGATAAATCCGTCTGGCTGGCTGCCGCGCCGCGATTACGTGTCTCTCCGCGAAGGATTCTCCGTCTGATTAAATTCTTCGGTGCGCGCGCGCGGGGCCCGATACGGCCCCGATGCGACGGCGATTCTTCGAGGGAACTTTCCGCTCGCGGCGAGAGAAATTCTCCCGCAAGTGGAGAAAGCGCTCGTCGCTCGCTCGCGTCGCGTCGAGCGAGACGCGTTTTGCAAAATCCGCAAGCGTCCGCCTATATGCGCGGCGATAAACGCGCGGCCGCTGACGATCGTCAGAGCTGGACGGCTCCTGTTAATTGCGCAATGTTCCAATTGATCGAAATTGTCCCCGGGTGACGTGGCGGAGAGGGGCGGTATTAATTACGTCACAAACGTCGCGAACGGTCGTAAAGCGGCCGCGTGACGGAGAGAGCGCTCCGAGGGCTTTGCTATTTTCCCTTGTCTCCGGACAGTGACTAACGACCGAGACGGAATTGCGAATCACAAATTTGACGTCGTCGACTTCCTACGGACTGATAACGATCGCGAGCGAACGAACACCTGCAGCTTGCCCGGCCACGGCGAGCGACGCAACGTTTGTTCACGTCGCGGGCGTCGACAGCTCGCGCGCGAGTACGTCACAATTCTTCCCGGCGCGGCGCGGCGACGAGACAAAACGGCGCCATCCGCGATCGAATGTCCGGCGGGAAAAGGACGCAGAAAAAAACGTAACATCAGGCAGCCGATATCCGCCGAGAACCGCCGCACCGGCGAATTTTCTCGTCGCTCGAAATACGCGAATCGCCGGCGAGCGAAGCGCGACGACGCGACGCGACGGTCTCCTCGACGTCGACGACGCGTCGAGCCGCGCATCGATCTAACGAAGCAATTACGCCGCGCGGCCGGGTCTACGTGCCGCCCCCAGTTCCTTTGTTTATCCGGAGCGGTTGTTATCGACGACGTCGAAATTAAAATAATACTCGGCTCATTACGGCGCGCTGCAAACGAACGCTCGAGACCCGTGCCGAGAGCCGACGGCAACGGCAAACGGCCCGAGGACGACGACGTCGTTAACGGAACGCATAGATATGTCCGCGTTAAACAAACAAACATCGCTGACGACGCCGTCATCGACGACGACGACGACGAGCAGCGGAGTTCACTCGCTAATCGGCTCCGCGCGTTTTAAAAGCGACGTCGGAATCAGTACTGCTGTCGATATAATAATCATGATACATATTTTAATCTCATTTGTTGAAGGGGGGGAGGGGATAACGTCGCGGACCATCGCGGTTGTCTCCACCGCGGACGACTTGGACAGCCGCCGTCGCGCAATTTGCGCAACCGGAAACTTTTGTCTCTCTTGCTCTCTTGCGCGCGCGACGCATTCGGGCCCGCGACGGGAAAGTTCGCGCGAGCCGCGCGCTGATTAGTCAATCCGTGCGAGAGGAGGTCGTTAATTATTCGGCGCGAAAGAGAGGGAGGGAGGGGTCTCTCGTTATTTTGAAAATTACCCGCCGCAAACAAGGCACTAGGACGCGCATCGCTCGGTCGACGACGCTTCTACACGTCATCGTTAGCTGTCCCGCTTGACCCTTTTACCTTCCAGCGCGTAGGGGACGCGATAAATCCTCTCGGGATAACGCTCTTTCAGCGCTTCCGCTTTAAAACGCTGCGTATCGCGGCGCGTAAATTACGACGCGCGCCGGCGCGGCGGAAGTGTGCGTTTCAAAGCCGGCGCCGCGGCCTGTCTGCATAACAATACCGTATTCGAAGAAACGGTCACGCAGAAATCGACTCTTCGAGAAAGAGGGAGGGAGAGAGAGAGAGAGAGGTACTAACCCAAATAGATAATGAGTGGAGCGAAGCGGGCCGTATCTCGCAACGGTAAACGCCGGCAGCGTTAACGCAACCCTCTCGCAGCGAAGATAGCCGGCTGAATTTAATGAAAGTGACGCGACACGGTGGAGCTCAATAGCGCGCCGTAAATCCTCGCGAACGAAAGAACGGTAAATCCTGCGCACACACGCCCGCGCGGCCGCGGTCGGTGAATCAGTCGCGGCGCGGCAAAGTCCAGCGACCTCAGCGGCGAGCGTGCGCCGCGTAAGGACTATTTAGCCGCGGATTAGCGATCGCTAAACGACTTCCGGTGACGCGCGTTGCCGACTCGCACTGTTCGCCGTGATTAAGCGGTTGCGTAAACGACATGCTCGTTCACTCCGCGGTAAGGAAAGCCGTGAGATCGAACGCCGAAAGAGGCGAGCCGCTCGTGAGTCACTCGCTTTGGAAAGCGTCGCCTTGAATACCGCGTTCGCACGTAACTCGAGCCGATTTTCATAAGGAAATTCCTCGAGCGACGGCGGCACGGCATTATATTACGTCGTCCTGCGCCGCGGCGGAGAAACGCAAAGCTCGCGTGGGGAGGGGATTCTTTTTTTTACGACGACACAACACTGTAAAACTAGACATCGGAACATGTGTGTTAAAATTGAGTGTTAGTGTGTTATTTTGACACATTAGCTGGCGTTAAGGCACTAAGTGCGTCAGAATAATTCGTTTCCTGTGACAAAAGTGTGTTTTAACACACACACACTTGTCTTGTTGTAACACACCATGTAACACACTACAGAAACGTGTTACTTCTTTTCCAACAATTCCGTGACACACGTAGAGCGTGTTATTTAGACACAGAATGATAATCGAAATACACTGAGAACACACTTGGATGATATATCGGATAACACGTCACCAAGTCACGTAACACACTAGTAATGTGTTCGTGATAACACACTAATTTTGTTAACACACGTTTAAATGAACACACATATATGTATTAAAAAAAATACATGTGAGAAAAACACAAGTCGGCAAAATCGGCGATTACTCGCCTTCAAAAAAGTATTGTATCTATTGAACAAATTAATATGATAATAACTTGCTTTCATATTATTATAGATAGACTAAATCGTTAATTACATGTTATTCATTATTATATGTTTTGTAAACGTAATATGTTAAATAACGCGTGACTTAAAATGGAAGAAGTGTATGAAAAAGATTCATTCGTTTACACGCTTGTGCATTTCAACACAACACACTTGGATTTGCAATGTTGCTCAATTCACCTTCATAACACACTTGAGGTGTGTGTTAT